CATTTTAAATCAAAATCGGTGGCTTCAATGCAGCTCTGAGATTGAGCCTTGTAGGGCTGTGTTCTCTTATACATGACTGAAAAGGTGGCAGAGGCACCGGAGACTGGCAACGGTGCAGTTATCCTGTCTTAAGAGAAAAATGGCGGTAACCCACAGCGTTGTTCAGAAACGAGGTAAAACTCGTGTTCGTTCCACAGTCCGACAGAGGATCCGCCGCACCCGACATGGGAACTGCAGCCCCTTCCAACTTTCTTTGTCCTCCCTTACCCCCTCCCTCTACTCCCACAGCGACTGCGAACCAACCCCGTCAGTCATCAGAGAAAGGTTGTTTCGAATCAGTTCAAGGAGATTTGGGCCGCATGACTGTCATTTTTCATTGTGAGCGGAAACTGACCGCTCATCAGTCGCTGCTCCATTGCTGAGGCCCAATTTTTGTCCAACGATGCATGCCATGAGAGACTTTCCCTGAGCTCGCAAGCAATGAGTCCAATATTTGCAAGCATAGCATATGCTTCAGCTATCATAAATTAAATCGCCGTTGAAGAAGGTCTTCAACATTGCTAACGTAAAAATTAGTTTTTTGAATAAAAAAAAACACAGCTTACAACAGCAAACCCTGTTGGACTCATTGCAGGCCTACCCGGAAACGTCGGCATTAAGATGCAATGATTCCATTGGTTGTGATTTTTACTCATGGTCCCAATAAAAAGAGTAATTCCTCTATTGCTCATCATCTCAATAACAGGCGCAAATATTCAGGTGATGATTATCTCAAAAAGATGGAATAATTCTAGTGCTCATCATCTCAATAAAAGGCGCAGTTTTGTGCGCGCAACAAAATGAGCTAATTTTAGCTGCCGATTAGTCTACGTGGCATTTCGTTATTTTCCTTTTTGCGAGTGTACCTAGTTCCCCTTCTTGTAAAGGTTTTGAGCTCCAAAGAGACTAAAATGAGCTTATTTGCCCATGTATAGACGAAACAACACATGCGTGTAATGATGACAGATATCTGCTCTGCTAAAAATGCAACTGGGTGTTTGTGTTGTATCAAGTCCTCGTGGTGATGGCAAATGCTTTTGATAAGTGCTTTTGTATTTGTCAAGATAGGTGTCCCAGAGAAACAGAACAAAAAAAAATAAGGGACGAAACAACGGCCACATTTGATCAAAGCTAGTGATTGATCAGAAGCCGCTAAAATTGCTCGATGAGACAAAATAGCAGCTCTTGCTCTATCCGGTCTCACAGGCTCACATTGCGGTTTTCTAATGTAAGTGCACTCTGGAGAACACACGTGCAGCATTGTGTTCGTGGTACAGCTAAAAGCTGTTGGTTTGACATCCCAGTGGCTGGTAAATCACATCAAGTATTTAGCCACGACTCGTGTATTTCTTGGTATCCTAATATGCCATTTACGGTGAATGCCAGGGGACCTGCGGTTTTTCAGATACCGGTGAAGTTTACCCAACGGTGTGGCGCAATGCGAATTCCAACAATGAGCTTTGACTGGAGTGGGGCTTTCTGTCTGATTGAAAAAATTTCGTAGACATGTATGCATGCGTGTGCTTGCGTATATTTATCTAGATTGAGATGTAGATTTACCTCGAGCATCTGTAGAGAAAGATCAGCCAACACACTTTCGTTGTCTCGCTGGTTGTACCTTTCACTGCTGCTCGCAAAACAGTCCATCAGTGACACTGTGTGAACGCTCGGTACATGGGCGCTGTGTGGACGGCCGGCTTAACTGTTATTAAGGGCTTCTGGGCTTTACAGAGTATCTTCTTCGAAGGATACACAAATTGCCCAATGAATGCTTGGTCCCCGTCCCGATCTCATCACCGAATGGCGTATTGCTGAGAAGTTACCTAAAAGATAAAACATGAAAATCTTTCCGACTGAATGTCAGGCCTGAGACGGGTATAAGCTAGTCAAAGCCATACAAAGCACCTGCCACCATAGTACTTTGAGTAGGGCCGGCAACAATAGGGCGACTGCCGGTGACCAAAAACAGATATATCCTTAATTGCTCTGACCAATCATGCGTGATGCCTTGCAGGTGACCTTTGGCATTTCCCGACAAAACTGCCACTTACTCACGCACTGAAATCTACGAGACTTTTGCTTGGCTGTTGCAAAAATAACAATGCACGTTTCTTGAAAAGTTGGAAACGGTTTTGGCAATAAGTGCATGTTCTGAACAAGTATGTTTTTTCGGTAAATAACATAAACCTAAATCACACTGTACAAAAACAAAACGTCGTTGATGGCGGTGGTCAGGCACCTAGTTGAATAATGCCACGAAAACCACTATATTAATAACATCCGAACATGTTCATAAGGACGAATAAGCGAAAGTTGGCTTTGAAGACTTAACGGAAACGCACCATCTGGACACGCGCGAGTAGAGTTAAATATCGGCCAAAAGGTGGCACTACGGTCTCAAAGTTGCACAGACTTGTATGCTGCACTGCTTTCTTATCGTCGTTGCTTTCACTTCAGATAGGAGCGTTTGAGTTTGAGCGTTTGAGCGTTCGCTCAATGCAAGAGTGATAATTGACAATCCCGCGTAGTGTAAAGAGCTAGGTCTCAAGCAACTATGAATCTGTGTGAGGATAATTGCGCTCCTGACAGTTATTTATGCGGCGACATATGCCGCCAAAAACCCTCATTATCATGATCGTCGTGCTGCATTTAAACTAGCCATGCTGGCCGATGTGCTTTTGTCAATTCAACACAGCACTGAGCAAATAAGAAACACCCGGTAGAGGCTTGAGCGCAAACAACCTGCTACGGCACAAAGTGTCAGTACAACAACGGCCCAGGCAGGGCTGGTGTGGGCGGCGCCGCCCGCCGCGGACGGCCGTGCCGCGTTACCTCCTCGGTCGGCGGCCGGGCCACGTGACCGCCGCGGCGGCGGCCGCCCGTCCTTCTCCCCGGGGGCACAGCTTCTCACTGCTGGTCATTGCAGACCAGTTTGTGGGCCCCGTGCGACTATTTCGGAGGCTAATTTTCAATTTAACTAAGAGGCAAGCAAACGTTAAGTCTTTGATGGCCGCCGGACCCTGGAGAGGAGCGGCGGGACTATTTCCAGAGTCCGGTTAGGATGTCGGACGCGATGGACCGGCCTCGTCTCACGCCCCGTGTGTTGGGCGCCGCGCGGAGGCGCATTCAGAGGGGAGGAGCCGCCGCCGGCACGTGTCTGTTCCAATTTGCACATGCTTGTAAGTGCATGCATTACTAATAAGTGTACATACGCTTGCAAACAAGTGCAGACAACTAAAAACCAAGGCAAACGCGTAACATAAGCACAATTAAAACATTCGCAGTTGTTATACGCCATGCAAGAAGCTTCGCATGCCCGCGGTGTGTTAAAATGAAGTTTAGTCAAAACTTTGAAGTTGTGCCCCCATTTATGATAACCCATACACCCCTGGCGCTGCCGGCTGCACCCCTTGGGCGCGCCGAGAGCGTGTTTTGCTGCACGCCACGCATGCTTCGCTTGCTGCACGTTTATGGTTCACTGCCTGAGATTGAGAGATGAGCGAGACCTGACCGCGGAGAAGCGTTCTGCCTCAAATCGGGCTGCGCCGCCGTCAGTGGTGTTTTGGAACCAAGCGAGGTTCTTACATCGAGCAGGCGACAGCTGGATTGCCATCGCTCAGGATCTTAACCTGTTATCGGTGAGAATCACAAACCGATATAACCGCATTATGCTCTGCTCCCTGCACTACAACTGCAGGTCGCGTACCGCATTGGTCCTCTGCGCGTTGGCTCCAGCCTGGTTCCCTGGAGAGTAATGCGGTCCCATCTTCCCACCGGGTGCCATACTCTTCGCTCAGCCTGCGCTGGAATTCCTTGAAGCCACATCATATCCAAGGCAACTTGTCTGTGGCGTTTCGGCAATGCCAGAATTCATCGCCGAAGTTGTCTGATCCGACGGCCGATGAACACCTGGCCCACATATCAGGCCGAGCCTGGGGACAACTCAGCTCATTTCCGTCGGCAGGGTCTGCGTAGGCCGGCCAGAGCCGGAGGAGGGGGGGGGGGGGGGGGGGGCGGGGGAAGGAGGGCATGGGTGCCAGGGAGGATGGCCTCTCCGGCAGTATGCTCGGTAACAGGGAGAGTAGCTCGCCCTGCGGCACGTATGGGACCAGGGAAAGTGTCTCCTTCTGCAGTATGTGTTAGGGGACGGGGTGGTCGGCTCGCATTTCAGTAAGTGTTGGGGCGGCCGGGGAGAACGGTTCCTCCCACAGTGAGCAGCAGGGGGGAGGGGGGGGGCTGGCAGCTGCTCCTGCCGCATCATGAAAGGCGAGGGGCAGGGATGTCACTTTCTGAGACCGGTTGGGGGAGTGCGGCTGGGCCAATGAAGTTGATCCGACTTTCCTCCAATCCTGATTTTTCCTCGGATTTCAGTCAGTTTGATTTGAGTCCCAGATGTGAAAATTAAACTTATAAAAAATTTCGTTGGTAACAAAATGGTTTCGATGTTGTGGCATAAATTCCCAGTTAACGCCGATGTGATAAAGAGGATGATGATACATGATGGTGATGATATTAATAGTGTTGCGTTGCGGTATCTAGTGCACCAGCCGCTCAGATACTTGCTGTATTTTATAGGCCCAGTATTCCCTGTTTTACTCATGCATTGGGGAGGTGGGGGGGGGGGGGGGGGGGCTCAGAAGAGCTTTGAGGCGGCTTAGGCATTGGGGGCGTGACTCAGATCCCCCAAATGAACGAAGTGATATCTGTGAGGAGCGGCATCTTCCTGCGGGAAGTTTAGGACTCTCAGATGCCTCTGCTTTCATGTGATATATCGATTCGTTTTTTTCCGAATAGTTCCCACTGTAAGATTCATGCTATGAACCTCATGTACACTCAGCACCCTAAAGACCGTTTCAATACTTGCTTCACCCATAGGCATTAATGTCATATGAGCAGCAAAATGGCTTCCACAGCCGCCGCATATCTCTGTTGATGATGATGCCACACTGCATTCGCTTATGTATTTTTCCGCACGGCTGAACGCTGGCAGAGCCTGTTACAGAAGCGCGGCTCTGCTCGTCAACAGACGAGAGGCCCGAGCAGGGAGGAACACACACCAGATAAGTCACGTGACAGACCCGGCCGAGACTGAGCAGCGTCCGGTCACGCTCGCCGCGGGAGGTCATCACGTCCGGTCACGCTGGCCGCAGGCGGTCACCGTCACAAAGCACGCCACTCCACAGTCCACCGCCATGCCCTCAACCAGCGGGAAGGACTCGGCTAAGGATTCCAGCAGAGGTTGGGGGACAACTTCCAACAAACACACAACACACCTTCCGCGCCGGCGAAACCGCCACGTCCCGCGAGGGGCGCCAAACAGCGGCCATGGCCGACCCCCGACTGCCGGCGGCAGTGCCCTGGGCGCCCAGTGCTGCCCACCCCAACCGCTCCAGGTGCCCAGGTCCGCCCCAGTCGTCCAGCTGCCCCAGTCCACTCCAGGCGTCCCAGTCCGCCCCAGCCGCCCGAGCCGCCAAGGCGCCCCAGTCCGCCCTAGCTGTCCGAGCCGCCCCAGGCGCCCCAGTCCGCCCCAGCCGCACGAGCCGCCCTAGGCGCCCCAGTCCCGGTAGGTCGCAGCGGAGCCTCGTCACAGCCGTTTGTACTTGGATTCCGCCTCAGTGTCAGCGCACCCGCACCCGTTCACTGCCCGATCGACCTGGAGATCGAGGGCGCCCTGCACCTGTCACGCGCCACTTTTATCGTACTGCAGCGGTTAGCGCGTCGCCAGGACCCACCGAGCTTCGGACTCTGTCGAGGTCTCACCCGGCGCTGATTCAGGCCCGCCGCCCGGTACAGGTCACGGCGGTGAACTAGGATCGACTCCGGCTGTAGGTCAGACCTGATGACCTGCTGAAGGTCAGGAAGCCGGCAGGTCCGTGCCTGATACCTGATACGGTCCCGGCTGTAAAACAGACCCGCTGGTCTCGTGTAGATCGCGGCGGCTGGCCACGTCCGTGACCTCGCATCGTTCCCGGCAGCGGGTCAAGTCCGCTGACCTAGTACAGGTCACGGCACCTGTTCCAGTCCAGCGCCCAAGCGTCGGTTCCGGCTGAGCCTTCGCACGGTGTGCGGGCGCCTCCCAGCGCGGTCGGCCGGCTCAGAGCCGGGCCGGCTGCAGCGGCGGCAGGAGAGACAGCAGCAGCAGCAGCAGCAGAAGACCGCCGCCCGATCCAGGCCGACCCAGCCGGACGCCGTCTGCCGCACAGACGTCAGAAGTCATGGACACCCAGACGTCATAGACATTCAGAAGTAATAGCCACCCAGACATCAGACACCCAGACGTCATACACACCCAGACGTCATAGACACCCAGGCGCCATGACGTCGTGTGGCCGGAGCTTGGACGCCACCATATGACGTATGGCATACACATGAACGCTGTGACGTCAAACTAAAGACTTTCGGGCACTATGACGTCACGCGACAAAGGCTAGACACTGCGACAGCATGTGACAAGCGCTCGGCCGCTTACGTCAAGTAGAGGACACCTGGAAACTGTAATGCCACGCGCCACCCACCGGGCACCGTGACGTTACTCGGATCACAAGACACCGGAAGGCCGCTCTGCACGGACGCGCACGGATCCTGTGACGTAAGACGGGCACTGGACGGACACTGTGACGTCAGACGGACACCGGACGGTCGTAATCACGCACTGTGACGTCAGACGGACACCGGACGGTCGTGACCAGCCACTGTGACGTCAGATGGACACCGTACGGTCGTGATCAGCCACGCTGACGTCAGACGGACACCGGGCGGTCGTGACCAGCCACTGTGACGCCAGACGGACACCGGACGGTCGTGACCAGCCACTGTGACGTCAGACGGACACCGTACGGTTGTGATCAGCCACGCTGACGTCAGACGGACACCGGGCGGTCGTGACCAGCCACTGTGACGTCAGACGGACACCGAACGGTCGTGATCAGCCACTGCTGGCGTTGGCGGTGGCGGTGGCACACGCAAGCGCTGCCACTGGCCAACCACCCACAAAAGTAAAAACAAAAATATGGCAACGGCAAGTCAACACGGAGCAAAGCACGTTTGAACATGGCCAATGCGCAGCAGCCTTAATAAAGCAGAGGCTAACAACGAATAATAAATCGTTTCAGCCAAGACTGCATCGATCTGGCACCAGCGGGTGATCGCACACAAACACAGGGTCGGAACGGTTCATATGCACTCCGCAGCGCTGCTGTGTTGCCGCGCGAACGACTATTCGGTTCACCAATGCCTTACGCGCGCATGTGCGTATCGCATTTAATCGTCGACTGCATGCCCTGTATTTTCTTCAGCACATGCCCACGGGCCATTGATTGCAACACACATGGCCACTACAGCATGATTGATCCAATGTGGGTCAGGGGCAAATTGAACGCCGCATTCCGTAGCGCACTGGCTTTGGCGCTGCCTGCGGCGTAACTAGCAACACGCCGCTGTGACTGTCACGAGTAGAGACACAGTCTGCAGGACACCGCCCCCTCCGCTGCCGCGTCAGTCAGCTCGCTCAGGCGACGGCCCGCGCCTGGGGGCACGGGGGCCTCGTGCCTCGGGCGACCGCCACTGGCAAAATAGATCTAGTAGCGGTATTTGTGCGAAAGGACTGTTTCCACGATGTGCGCTGCATGCCTGTGTAGTGTGCACTGCATGCGTATATTGCTGGTGCTTGGCGCAATCCGGAGTATGAGAACAAAGCAGACGCTTCGTGCGATGCCGGTGCGTAAGCTTCGTAACATTGTCGTTGTCCCATAGTCTGGCACCCAAATTTTAGGCGCTACATGAAATGGTCACGAGGTTTAGGAAATTTTCTTTTAGTGCCATTAGTACGCACTTTGTCTGAAAAGTACGTAAACTGTTATTGAGATATTTTATGAAACACCATAGAGCAAGCATGTTTCAATCAAAGCTTACTAAACCGAATGAAGAATACAAGGTTAGATGTTTGTCCACGCTGCGTGACGACACCTGAATATGTACAGGGCGTCGCACATCCCCGAATCTCCCAGTGCACTCCGTGCTCCATTCGTAACGCGCGCCGAGTGTTCCCAACGCGAAACTCGGGTTGTTTCGGGCGGTGTCGGCTCGCTACATCTACCACGCGCCCGTCTGAGCGCCACCCAGAAACGCTTTCCGTGCCGCGCCGCCGCCGCGTGGAGCCGGCTGCCGGCGGCGGCCGTCCGCGCCTCCTCGCGCCAGGCATTCTTGACTGTTTTAAATCGATGAGTCATTGACTGAAACTGTGTATTTGTGCGCATGTGTGTATATCTGTACTGTGTGTAGGTTTTTTCTGGTACTAGGCGCAGAACGACCACCACGTGGATGCGCCTTAGATAAAATAACTGTAAATGTATAACTGAATGCGAACAATTCGCAACAATAACGTAGCCAGGGTAGGGGCTTTTGGTGCGATGATCCCCTCTCCAGTTCTTGGAGGTGGCATCCCCCTTGCATGCAATGGGGTCCCAGACCTGAATAAGCGATGCGATTATAAAAACAGAGCATAAGTCAGCGAAGTGGGTCCTTTGGGTGAAATGACCCCTTCTGTCCCGATGTGGCCCCTCCCGGACGAAATCTTGCCACGCTACAGCTCGCGACCCATTGTTCGCTCGTGCTGTGTCGCGTTCCTTTGCGACGCCGCCGTCGACCGGTCAGCTGTCCGCGAACAACCCCTGCTCGCGAACACCCTCTGTTCGTCAACACCCTCTGTTCGCGAACATCCTCTGTTCGCGAAAAGTTTGCGGGCAGTTGTTGACATCGCTTCATAGCCCTATACTTTTGCTTTATACCTGTAATTAATATTATGTAATAATATGCAAATAAGTACCTGTTATTACAGTTACAGCGCAGTTTAAACAGGCGCGGAAACAATGGTTATGGGGCACAGCGAAGTATGGATAAGTATTACTGTCCGCACAGATAGTCCATACCTGCCGTGTGACATTAATGCCGAAAGAGGGCGTGTGCCTTCTCGTTGGTGTCTACTGGATGTTAACGTTAAGACAGTTTACGAACCGCTGTCCGTTTGCGTTCGTGTTTGACTTCGCCTCCAGCCGGTAAACTGTTCATGACCATGCCTTTTTGCGAACAGTTCGTTAGTGTTCATTTATTAATTAACTCAACTAGCACATCAGCTTGAGTCGTACATTTTGATGTTTGATTGAATGGTTCAAATTGCCTATCGCGCTTTCGCTTCACAAAATAGAACAAACTGCTTTTAACTCTTCATCGTCGAACACGGGGCTCTCAGCCGTTTTGAAGTGCACGGTGGTGGATATAGGCTTTCGTAAAAACACTTAAAAATGTGTCACCAAACACATATTCTAGCGGGCTTAGCTCGTACAGAATAAACAACAGCTTTGCATGTTTTCAATTTACCTGTCATTAAAAACTTACTTTGATCCTTTAACTACCAACATGTATTCACATGCAAACTGTTGCAAATGCATATTTAATACAGGTGCTTATGGGAATGACCTGGCAGTGGTTTTACAAGGTTAGAGGACTATGAGAAACACGGTGGACCGCAATGGGACAGTTTTGTTCAGAAACTAGACTGAGATTAAACTTTACAAAAACTGCCTACGCGTGGATAGGTGACGCAACTAACCAGCGAGCCCCCACATATCAAGAGTTAAACTTAGAACAACGTGAGGAAGTAAAAACTTTTGATCTCCTTAGGATAAAAATATCCGCTTGCACTAATAACACGAGTGAAATCAATTACAGATTTTAAATTGATGAAAATAAAAAACATGTTCTTATGGACTCAAATAAATGTTATGCCGCTTGGCCGAGTACTTCTTGTAAATGCACTTTTGTTGTCTAAACTCGTTTATTTGTTGTCTCTACTGGAAACTAAAGCAAAATCATGCGTGCCGAGTCTGCCATTGCTCATATTCAAGACCATCTGGGGAAAGAGTGACAAGATAAAGCAAGCGTTTGCAGAGAAACGGCTCTTAGAAGGTGGCATTGCAGCTCCTGATGCTGGACCACTTACCAGCGCGCTTAAGATAACTTGGATTAAAAGATGGCTGGACACAAAACATGCTAGTGGGAAGCTTTTTGTTCACAATAAAATTCATGTTGGTAGTGGACTACACATTTTTCAATGCACAATTAGAGACCGTCGGATTCAGAGCAGGAATCACATTGATTTCTGGGATCAGCCCTAAGCGGCATGGGTTTAGCCACAACGAGTGATTGCAAGTGATTGAGTGTAAGTGCTTGAGTGCAAGAAAAAATGATATGATTGGGATGAGAGCGAGGAAGGCACGAGTCTGGTGTCCCTGGAATACATTCCTGAAGTACGCAAACCATTCAGAATAAGTCTTCGAGCGAGTGCCGCACGTCGGAGCTTGCTCCTGACAGTCGCCGCGGACCAGCTGCGATCATAGAGACACGAGTATGCAGGAGGCTTCTCGTGAAAAGCTGTTGTTTCATGGACAGGAGTTCACCAGGTGGGTATACATGCCCAGCAGCAGAGTAGCAGTGCAGCGTCATGCGCTTCAAGTGTCACAAAGCGCGAACAGCGTGCTCATCTAGATGCTTTGATTCCACACCTCGACTCAACAAGTGAACTGTGACAAACAGCAAAGTGTTTTGCCACACACCAGCAAGCTTGTTGGGGAAGTTTGTTGACGGTGATCACAATGTGCGATTGCCTTTAGTCATCGTCTCTGAAGAGTGCTTGTATTGAGCCACAAAATAATTATCGTTTATTTCTTTTAAAAACACATTGTAATTTTCTTCTGTATCTTAGCTACATCGTTTTGTATATATAGCTCTTTGAGACTGTCTCCCTTTGTGCAGTCAGACACAATATTTCTTCCGCCAGTTCGGGGAACCTTTGGCATGCAATCCGATGTTTGGACGTACGGCCCGGTCACACAGCCGCGCGGAGCCTTTCGTCTCATGCCCTCGCTATCTGCTCGGTCAAACGACGAGTGGCCTCTGAGACTTAGCCCAAATGCCTGCTTCGTACTGGAGTCGGGCGTCTGAACCACGCAGCCGCGACCGTGGTAGCCGGTATGAGTAGAAATACTGTGAGCTGACATGCTGAAAATAACCGATCTTGAATATAATGGGAGGTACTGGTTACTGCTTATGTTAAGCGAGTCTGATTTATATAGTAGCATATATCCCATTGGCTGACAAATAAACCGCAAACTTGAAACATCGGAGAACCAATTGGG